ACGAAAAACAGCGTGTTTCTGCTTCCACTCAAAATAGGCATTTTCAAAATGTTATAATAAATGATCTGTGGGGTATTTTGAGCTGAAACTTCAGACACATTCTGGGGACACCAGAGACGTATATTACATATTGTAAAAAAGGGCATAATATGTCTCCTTTAAAAGTTCCAGTGGGCTGCTGTGATTGAGTGCTTGACTTACAATGGTGGTCCAGCAGAGCGGTGGAGACAAAGTAATGGGCAAGAGAGTTGTAGTGATTGGTCTTCAGCTCGGACATGGTGGTCCAGAAAAAGGGCACGTTGTTCTTAATGGGGGTCTGGATCATGGACTGGTGAACTTCACTGTAGGTTTCCCCCACCTGAGAATATAAAGGAGAAAGGGGTAAATGTCACAAGCACTCTGAACAGAGGCATAACCTTAGGCTTTGAAACAGACCCGCATACTGATAGGATCAATAGGTCATGTATTTATATGTATGAATTACAACAGAAAGAACATATGAAAAATGCATCATAGCATATTCTTTGATTTTTTTTTTTTTTGCGCTACCGTTCAAAAGTTTAGAGTCAGTAAGATTGTTTTTGAAAGAAGTCTCTTATGCTCACCACGTGAAATATTATTACAATTTAAAATAGCCTTTTTGTATTTGACTATATTTTAAAATGTAAATTATGTGATGGCAAAGCTGAATTTTCAGCATCATTACTCCAGTTTTCAGGGTCACATGACCCTTCAGAAATCATTCTAATATGCTGATTGGCTGCTCAAGAACCATTTATTATTATCAATGTTGAAAACGATTGTGCTGCTTAATTATTTATTAATTTCATGCAAACTGATTCTTAGATTAATAGATTTCAAATGTTTGAAACAAAATAATTTATTTGAAATAGTCTTTAAAGCCCCTTTTGATCAATTTAATACATCCTTGCTGAACTAATAACTGTAATATCACAGATCTTTTTAGTACCTTGGCAGCCTCTTGCGCTATTTTGAGCAGGCTGAAGAACTCATTTCGGATTCCTGGAAGAGTAATTTGCTCAAACATACACTCCTGCGCCTGTGCTACCATCAGCTGGATCAACATGCTCAGCATAGCAGGGCTCATATCATAACTGGGAGTGTGTGTAAATGTCTCCTTTAGGTAGTGCAGCACACCTGCAGCAGAACATACACGAACAAAATCAAACAGACAGAATTAAGTAGAATTTAATATCAGAGTGTGCATCTATACAAATCAGTCCCCTTATATTTGCATTCAAATGCAGCAGTGGGTAAATTAAACAGAAATTTAAACAGAAAATTCTGGTAACACTTTAGAATAGGGAACACATATTCACTATTAATTAAGAATTCCTCAATAAACTCCTAATTTGCTGGTTTAGTTTATTTTAGTTATGGAGTAGGATTAAGGGATCTAAATTATGGTCGTCATATAGAATAAGGCATTAGATTTCAAATGTTTCAAAGGTTTATAGTATGTGCATATGTGCATTATAAGTACTAATAAACAGCCAGTATGCTAGCAATATGCATGCTAATAAGCAGCTAGTTAATAGTGAGAATTGGTCCTTAAAATAAAGTGTTACCAAAATTCTAGGTAATTTCTTAAACTTCCCAACATTATTTGGCTTATGTAAAAAGCACTGCCATTTCCTCATTTTAATGCTTTTGCAAACACATGTTAAAGATAAAAAAAGACTTGTAGGACAATGCGTCAATCAATCTTTGTCATAATCACAACAACAAAAGGAGAGAGAGAGATTATATTTGGTCCTTCTTTCCGGTGGAGAAATACAAAACATTCAATGTGATGAAGACAGCGGGGTAGGCTGTTTTGATAGCTTAAGAATGCCAGCCAAATCTCTCTTTATGCTGCTGTTATTTTAAGGAGGTTAAAAACTGACACAAGCCACTGAGTTCCCATGAGCCTTTGACAGATCTGCTGATGAGGGGGAAGAATTACATCATGTTCTCTCCACCTTGAAACACAACCAGAACCCGAATATATGGTCTGTTCTCATGAGGCAGGAGTTCATCCACAGTTCATCATAGCCAGTTTTGGATACTTTCCTTGCCTTCTTGCAAACTAATCTGGATCTGTACCACATTACTGATGTTCCAAACTGGTTATGTGCATCTTTACTGGTCAAGTGCATCTACTTAAAACCTCTCACCTGCGGATTTCTGGAAGGCAGCAATGGCGTCCTCGAGTCCAGCTTGTGTCTGTCTTTCGGCGCGGGTTCCAATCTGGGAGCATAGAGCTGCCATGTTGAAGAGTATGCTGGCTTTCTCCAGTGAGATGTTCTGCTGGCACACAGGCACACCAGTAAAAGAGTCATACCTGCGTAGGCACAAAAAATGTGTTAAAACTCATGTTGACAAAAGCGTTGATGAGGCTTATTTTTAGTTTGGTTAAATATGCAATGCTGAAGTGCATCCTGTAGCTTTATTAGTAATTCAGCTACTTCTCTTTGTTTTTAGTTTTTTTATGATGATTTTTGTTCTTTATCCTGTTATCTACCTTTGTCTCTAGGGTATAAATGAATGAAAAGCAGATGTATAAACATAGAAACAACAATGGCAGTCTGACAGCCCAGTCAGACCAGTTGTGTGTTTCCTCTGAACGAGTTGTAATGTTTACAGCTGATTCAGTGGTGCATAATGTCATTACAAGCATATTACTGCTGGTGTGGGTGAGATGCAACGTACCAAGTGAAGAAAATGCCAATCTGGCGTGTAGGGGAGAAGAATCGAGGTTCTAAGAAGGAAAGTTGACTGAAGTAGCTGGCAAGCAAATCTACACCAGAAGGATTACGACTGGGGGTCCGACAGGCCTGAAATACACACATTCACTTCAATCAGTTGTGTGTCAATCAGTGTTTCTGAGCCTGTCTACTGTAAGTTTTTTTTTTTAAGGTCATGCAATTTTATGAATTTAAACAGAGAATCGAACCAAATACTTTTACAGAGGTCACATCATACCTGTCTCAGGTCCATCAGGTCATCAATCTCAACCTGAAAGTTTGAGCCATCTTCACTGTAGTGTTCCAGGATGAAGTCCTGTTGAAAATAAATTTCATATCCATTTACTCTCTGTGTCAAAGCAAACACAAAAACGTCACACAGTCACATATTCACAGGCCTGTTCTCCTGGCTAAACTTGTCTGTAGTGAGAAAACAATGACAGTGTCATAGATTCACCATTGCTATGTCATTACAGTTCGACTAAATTACAGGTTGGAAGCATACCAAAACCCATCTGATTGATCCTCTACAGTGATCAAACATCATTGTAGACTTTCAAAACCACAATTAAAGTTTTATTGAGTCTTTGGCTTCATTGTTTATTTTGCTGTGACCTACTTCCCATTTTCACTTAGAAAAGCTTAGAGTCTCATGCAAGCCACCTGACTGAAGGCCTGATAACTGAAGTTAACATTGGGGGTGCACTGTGAAAGAAACTGACCTTGAGAGCAACTGAGAAATCCACATCCTTTGTCTCCTTCAGTCCCAGAGGGATGAGTGGAATGCTGGATGTCTCTCTGTGAAATGAATAAAAAGACAGATTAGAAATTAAATGTAGAAAAACCAAGATAAGAACACATTCAGTAAGAAAGAATAAGACTTAAGAAAGGCCAGACCATTCTTAGGCCAGTGATTCAGCGATTCCAGACCTCCTACTCTCTGTGTGACTCAGAGCTGAAACAATTCTATGCCAGTTTCAATCATCTCTAAGACTGAATCAGCTGATACCAGAGTAGAAGATTCTTACGTTATAAAAAATATATTGCCTATTAAAAAACTTT